TCCGACCCTTAATCTATGAATCTATGAATCTATGAAAATCTATCTCTGTGGGAGGTATCGAGTGATCCCACAACTTCATGGCTTCTGCTGGTCACCTTGAGAAGCCAGGAAAACCCTTGTTTTTCCCCATGAATATATTATTTAGCTTCTGGGGCTTTTTGCATGGAAGGGCTGGATGTTGGCCAGAAAGATAGGCAGGATTTTGGCTGGGATGTAGTAAGGCTTCTACTTTGTACTTAGAAACCTGACTGGAGAATCCTGCTCAAGCATTCAAAATTCAATCCATTGCCTGATTTGGGTTCGGTACAGGAATTTTCCCCCCACGCTGGATTTTTGCTGGCAGGACCTAGTCCTCTTCCTCAGATCATCTGACCATATTTTAACCAAATTAACTCCTAGTGATTGCAGTGGTAAGGCATTGTACTGCCCTTGTTACGCCTGCTCTTTACGTGGAAAGCCAGCAGTTGTTTTCTTCAGAGAAGGAGCTTTAGTGGCTGTAATGCTTGAGAAGGATCAGAGTTGAAAATCTCAGTGACCTTTTGGACAAATGGTTGCTCTTGAATGCAGAGGACTGGACTCCTGGTTAGCTCAGGAAGCCCCTTCCAGTCCTGTGTCCCTAGTACTTGAGCTAAAGGATGAGCTGTATTGATTATCAACTACTGGAATATGCTTTAGTTTAGAGAGAGGTAATTAATCATGTTAGCCTGAAGGCAGGCAGAAGGCAGGATAGATTTGCACCTTATAGACTAAATCAGAGGTGGATAAGCAGTGGCTTACTCCATCAGATGCTATGAGGAGACTACAGGAAGCAGAGCTTCAAAATAAAACACATTATTTTGAATACAAAGGGTAGGGAAGGGGGAGAAAAGAAGGGCGCTGCTGGAGGTCATTGCGGGACCCCTGGCACGGCTTTACGAGCGCTCGTGGTGCTCTGGTGTGGTGCCAGAGGACCGGAAAAGGGCCAATGTGGTTCCCATCTTCAACTAAAGGGAGGAAGGAGGACCCGGGAAATTATAGGCCAGTTAGTCTTACCTTGATCCTGGGCAAGCTTTTTGAGAGAATTATCCTGGCGCATGTCCATGAGGGGCCAGCAGGGGAGATTATGCTTAGGGGCAACCAACACGGGTTCATTAGAGGCAGGTCCTGTCAGACCAACCTGGTGGCCTTCTATGACCAGGTCACCAAATCCTTAGACGCAGGGGTAGCAGTGGACATAGTCTTCCTGGACTTTCGGAAGGCCTTCGACACTGTCTCTCACCC